CTGTAGTGTGATAGAGTTTTGGAGCAACAGAGGGCAATCTATAGTACCCACTAAAAGACTATGCCCACAACAGTAGCTCCATTCCTTTCTATTCTTTTGTTCTCTGTGTCATATGACAGGTGCGAGCCAGGAGTGTTAGGTGAAGCAGTGTTAGACTATGCCAAGGTAGTCTGTTAGGAAAAGGCAGAAAATTACCGTTTCAAGTGATATAGAAATTGCAAAGCTTCATATAACAATTCTAGCACAATTAAATGTGTCTTATTTTGATATTTAAAGTATTACATTATTTTCAGTTCACTTGTTAGTGATCCTGCAAAATATAGTTGATAGACAATAGATTTATGTGATTCTTGGCATACTGGCAAGTATACTACAAGTAGTTTTGCAACTATTACAAAAATACACAACTATAAAAATGTACTTTACATAAGATACCTCGTACAATATACAGTCTGGTCAACAGAGCCCACAGCTAACACCTGCTTATTGCTTCAATAATAACCAATAATAATGTGATCACTCAGCACTAAATGGACTCTCTAAGCAACATGACCACCAGCTCTCTCATATAATTACATGATTTTGCTATTACATGACGAAAAGTCATGATTTTATTAAAGACACGGAGGCAAGTATTGCATATCCCTTTCTTTACTGTCCACCAATAGCAGCAAAGAATACAAACAGAATGAAAAAATAATGAACATGCAGTAACATAGGCCCCTCCCCGCTCAGGTCCCAGTATAACAGGCAGCACTTCCCTTCCATTTCCCTCTTTCTGAAGATGCGACCAAGGTAAAATGTCCAGAATGAGAGTAGTGTGAGAACAAAGTCCCAAGGCAATAACTTAAAACTGAAGAGGGTAGAACATCAATAACTGGGAAGCTTGACCATAGGAGTCATGGGACCATCGGATAACAGCGGGAGGAGTCCTTCTAAACCGAACAACTGCTTGCCGTCTTGCCGGATTAAGCTGTGAAAACATAAAGGAACAGGAGCCGACAGGTTAAAGTCGATACTTGTAACTAGTTTCAAGGTTACACGGGTGAGAAAATAACCCACATATGCACAGTCCCACAAAACAACTGATATACCCAGCATTACAGAAACATCATTGTCTAAGTATGGCCCCACTTACCGTACTGAACCATAATATGTGGTGTATTGTAGTATGAGTAATTCTGGGAGGGAAATTATTATTATTACAACTGTGTAAGAACGAAAAAGGGTGGGACAATACTCGCCTCCGTGTCTTTAATAAAATCGTGACTTTTCGTCATGTAATAGCAAAATCATGTAATTTTATAACAAGACACGGAGGCTCATATTGCAAGTTTAAAGCTGATCCATTACCGCAGCGAATGTATGTGGGGCCCGCCGAAGGTAAAATTCTCGGAATGTAGACTCCCTAGACCAGTCGGCCGTCCTCATAATGTCTTCCAGGCGTGCGCCTGCCGACATCATAAAAGAGGCTGATGCCCCCCGGACCGAATGGGCGCCAAATATTGTGGTATCAATACCTGCTTGGGACAACAGCCATTTCACCCATCGTGACAAGGTAGTGCTAGAAACCGGGTGAAAAGGAGGACGGAAAGATAAAAACTGAGGAGAGACGGTAGAGCGATGTGGGTTGGTGCGAGTCTCGTATTCGCGAAGGCATGCCACTGGGCATAGTGAAGGAGAGGTAGAGAAACTAGGGTAGGATACTGATTTGATGGAAGTCTTAGTCCGTCTGCTGATGTTGAAAGTTACCCCGTCCGGGGTATATGACTTGGCATCGAAGTCCAGTGCTCTGACATCCGAAACCCTCTTGCATGAGACGAGGCAGAGCAGGCAAACCAATTTGGCAGATAGCTGTTTGAGGGAGAGTCCTGAGTTAGCAGGCCAGGATGAGAGGAAAGCCAATACGACCGAGATGTCCCAGGTCGTGGAGTAGCGGGGCCTGGGTGGTCGTGAAAATCGAGAACCCTTGAGGAGTCGGCACACTAAGGGGTGCTGTCCCGCAGGGCAGCCATCGAAGCCTTGATGAATCGCCGATATAGCAGATCGGTAAAGGTTGATAGTCCTGTATGCCTTTCCAGCCTTGAAGAGGGACGTCAGGAACTGCAGGACCATTGTTACAGAGGCCGAAACGGGATCCGCGTTCCTAGCCATGCACCAGCCAGCCCAAGCTCGCCAAGCTGACCCATATGCCCGTCTAGTGCCGGGAGCCCATGCTGCTGCCAATAGGCATCTAGTCGTGTCCGAAACCCCTTGGATTTCCCAGGGTCCCCGGAGATCCGCCATGCCAGGAGTGGGAGAGAGCATTCTAACCGGAGGGGGTGATATCGTCCCGTCGGGTCCTGCAGTAAGTTGTGGTGTCCCGGTAGTAGTCGGGGATAGTCTAACGTCATCTCAAGCATTTGGGGGAACCACGACTGCGTTTCCCAAAATGGGGTGACCATGACCACTTCTGCCCGGTGTCTGTAGGAGTGAGCGCAGGATCATGGAAAATGGGGGAAAGGCATATAGGAGGCCTCCGTTCCAGTCTTGAAGGAAGGCGTCCACTGCCTCCGCCATTGGATCTGGCCTCCAGCTGAAGAAGCGTGGGAGTTGGGCGTTGAGCCGGGAAGCGAAAAGGTCTATGGTAAATGGTCCCCAGAGATACGATATATTGGAGAACACCTCCTTGGACAATCTCCAGTCGCTGGTGTCTGAGAGATAACGTGAACCCCAGTCCGCCTGGACATTGTGCAGACCAGGTAGGTATTCCAAGTAGACCATCAGGTTCCGTTCCAGGCAGAATTCCCAAAAGTCTTTCGCCAGTCTGGCCAGGACTGCCGACTGTGTACCACCCAGGTGGTTGACATATCTTACCGCCGAGACATTGTCCATGCGGAGCCGAATACATGATAAGGCTCGGTCCCTGGCGAAGCTGCGAATGGCGAAGGAGCCTGCCAGTAGTTCCAGGGCATTGATGTGCAGTCGGGATTCGGATTCCGACCAACGGCCCCCTGTTGAGACTCCCTCGCAGTGGGCTCCCCAGCCGTGGAGACTCGCATCTGAGTCGATCGTGAATTCTGGCATTGAGCCGAAGATGGCTTTGCTATTCCATGCGGACAGGTTGAGAATCCACCATCGTAACTCGTCTTTCGTCTCGCTGTCCAATGATACCAGATCCGCGTAGGATGCCCCGGATCTTAGGTGAGCGATCTTTAGGCGCTGTAGCGCTCGGTAGTGGAGCAGGCCTATGAGTCGTGCAAGTTGGCGTAAGGTGAGCTGGGGCCGGAGGAGGGCCCTGCATAACTCTTTGCGGATGGATCGAATTTTGGATATCGGGAGGCTCAGCGTTGCTGCCCCCGAATCCACCAGGAATCCTAAGAATTCCATGCGAGTGGCGGGGGTCAGACATGACTTCTCCCAGTTGATTATGAAACCTAAGCGTGAAAGGAGGTTTATGGCCAGCCGTAGATGTGTGAGGAGGGTGGAACGCTCCTGAGCCATGAGGAGAATATCGTCTAGGTAGACGATTAGTCGAACTCCTCGACTGCGTATCCAGGCCATCACAGACTGTAATAGCTTCGTGAAGCACCATGGTGCTGAGGAGAGGCCAAAGGGTAGGCAGGTGAACCGCCATGTCTCGTGCCGCCAGTAAAAACGTAGGAGGTCTCGAGATGCCGCCGCTATCGGCACTGTCAGGTACGCGTCTTTTAGGTCTAGCTTCGCTAGCCAGTCTCCGTGGAGGAGGAGATCTCTTAGTAGGTGAATACCTTCCATCTTGAAATGGCGGTACCTGACTATGGCATTGAGGGGGCGCAAATTTATGACAGGTCTCGATTGGCCGCCCTTCTTTTCCACCAGGAAGATGTTGCTTATGACCCCTGCGGGGTTGAGGGGTGCTTGTTCTATAGCCCCTTTGATAAGGAGGATTGAGAGTTCCTCGTCGATCCGTCTGCGGTCCTGGAGGGAAAAGCAGATCGGTCGAGGAGGGGGGATGTGTATGAGATGGGTTGTGAGTTCTATACTGAAACCCCGAATAGTGGTCAGTACCCAGGGGTCTGAAGTGATTTGTGACCAGGCTGGGAAAAAATGTTGGAGTCTGCCCCCTACGTAATCCTGAGAAGAAATGTGTGGTATGAGGTAACTCACCGTATTGTCGTCTTGAGCTTGGGTTACCCCGAAAGCCTCTGGATCGCCATGGACGTCCGCGGGATGTAAAAAATGTGGGGAGGGAGGTGGCATCCTGGTACTGGTTACGGTGCTGGAAGGAGCCTCTTCCCGTGCCACGGGATTGGGGGTAACTGCGGCCGGACAGACGGCTCCTGAATCTGCCGGCCCTGGTAGAGACCCGCCCCTGGAATACTCGCCTCATGGAGGCTTGGGCCTTGTCTAGAGCCGTAAATGCTCCAACGAAGCGCCCTAAATCTTTTATGAAGGAATCTCCGAAGAGAAGTCCTTGGGCGTCTTTACCCGCTTCTGTAAGGGCGAGATTGGCCAGTTTGGGCTCAATTTTGAATAATATGGCCTTACGCCTTTCTATAGATAGGGAGGTATTTACACTCCCAGCAATGCATATTGCTCTCTGGACCCAACCTCTAAGGTCTTCGGGGTCAACCATGCGGTTCTCCGCTCTGGCGTCTTACGCCAAGTCAAATAATTTGGCCAAGGGGCCGAATATGTCCAGGTGTTTGTCCTGGCAGGATTTCAATGCCGACTCCAGTCCTTTACAGGGATTCCAGCCCATTTTAGTGAGGAACTGGGTCATCTTGGGGTCTACCTCCGGAGTGTCACAAACTTTGTTAGGCACCACAGGCCTAGGACACTCTGCCCTCAATTTGTTGCGGGCCGCTTTACTTAAGGGTCTTCTGACCCAATTTTACAGGTATGTGGCAACGTGGTCAGCCGGGAGCCACTCTGCCGACCTCGGATGGTGTAGATCATCCGGGTCGAAGAGTGGGACACCCGAAGGATCCACAAGGGTGGACCCCACAGCCACGGGGTTCCTGATCCCTATCTCGCCTCCGGGCATCTCTGCCTGAGCAGAGGAAAGGAGGACAAGACCAGCATCAGCGGCATCCACCTCAGAGTCAGTATCCTCATTTGACCTGATTTCTGAGTCAGTGTCGCTCTCTATCTGTGCTCTAGCATATTTCCATAGCCGCGCCCGTTCTGCCTGCACGGAAAGGCTCTCTTGCGTGGATGGGACACGCTTTCTGGGGCAACCAAAGGTACACCAGTCATGGTGTTTCTGGAGGCAGAGGGGTGCTTGGACTTACGGGTAGCCTTTTTAAACACCTCTTTAGACACCTCTCCCTGGGGTTTCACAGAGGGACGCGGTAAAGGCGTCGAGAGGTCCGAAAGTTGCTCGTCTGAGGGACGTGGCAAAAGGGCCTGTGAAATGGTGTGGGAGAGGGTGGAGGACATAGACCCCATGGCCGCCATAATGGCGTCTGTCACTGAGCACTGCAGCGCTAGGAACTGTGCCCCATCAGAGTGGGTAGTTCCATCAGCCATAGTAGGCGAGTTGTCTGAGGTGACAGGAGCCTCACTCCTAATGAGTGGGGTATCAGACTCCCCAGAGGGAGTGGACCCAGCGGATAGTCTGGGTTTAGGCATGCTGAGAAAATAGCAGGGAATAATAGATAAAAGAAAAGGTATGGGTTAGTCACCCAAACAGCTAGACAAAGCTAAAAACGCTCTCACCAAGGCCCAGACCAGTGACACACTAAGATGTAGGAGACAGGAAGTCTGAAAATGGCCGCCGGTAATCTCGCGGGATTCGTGGCACCTGCGAGATTCGCATCAAAAACTACCGAACGTTCGGTAGAATAAGGTGAATTCGGGAACCAGATAGGTAAGTATAAGGGAATAAAAGTAGGCGAACCTATTGTTCGCATAAAAAATTCGAATGCGGCAAACATGCGAACGCTCTGTTCGCCGAATGGGGAATGAGATGTGTGTGTGGCGAATCAGCCGAAAAGGCTCAATTCGCGCGCATACACGGCCAGGGGGAGAACGTGCGCAAAATGGCGCCAGGGCAAAAGACAGACAGGAGACAAGACTACATTGACAGGGGAGGTCTGGGCCCTGAGACTAACAGAAAAAACAGATAAAGACATAGAGGTACAATGAGACAAAGTACTAAGTAATTGTAATACAAAAAGAAAAAATGAAATAAATATAAGTAAAATAAATAAATAAATAAATACATAAATACAATAAATACAAATAACTGTAAGATAAATATGGTAGGAAAAACTATAGACTGCTACCAGGTTTAAGTGGTAAGCAGACTGACAGAAAATATCAATGAGAAAAAAACAGTATAATAAGAAAATATGAAGAGAAAAAATGACATGTACTTATCTTTGTGTCGGAGCAGCAAAGAAAGAGTGAAATGGAAGGGAAGTGCTGCCTGTTATACTGGGACCTGAGCGGGGAGGGGCCTATGTTACTGCATGTTCATTATTTTTTCATTCTGTTTGTATTCTTTGCTGCTATTGGTGGACAGTAAAGAAAGGGATATGCAATATGAACCTCCGTGTCTTGTTATAAAATCCATGGTTAGATTAGATGAGAGCAGCATCTCATGAAGGAAGGTTGACACAAGTTGTAGATATACTATAAAAAATAATTATGTTTATTAAATAAAAATATTTATGAAACATCCAAATAAACCGAAATATTCTTATTTGAAAAATATTCAAATCTACCCAACTATTAGCTCAATAATATTGTATTTTGGAGATGGAGAGTTCTTTGTAGATTGGAGAATTTTATCATCATCCACCATCTTTTTACTTTAGGGTATCTCGCTGTATACAGATGTTTCTGGGTTAATCTGGTTAAACCCCATTCTTCCTTTCTGTTCACATTCGGAGTATTGCTCATTTTCCAAACTATAGGGTGACATCGCCATACTCTGCAACTGGTTAAAAAATTTAGATTGTTAGGCACAATAAACATAAAATAGGGTGTAATAACGTGCACTGTAAGTAAATGTACAATTGTTTATCATTTTAAACAATATTTATTAAATGACAAACAGGCACTATTGTGTGCAGATTTTCCATATTTAAATATACATTGGTTTCCATGGTTATTGCTTATTACTTAGCACCCAGGCCTAGAAGAGTATGTTTTTGCCTTAATAAATACATCCCTTAAGCTTAAAGGATAATCTAAGCACGAAAAGAACTGTTGCTTTATAAAACCGTTATGGTGTACAGGTCAAGCCTGTAGTGTTACTTCACAATTCTTTGCAATTTAGGAGTTAAAACACTTGTATATGGAGCAATAGCCACACCTCCCCTGAGTGTGACTCACACAATACAAACATGTATTCCTGACACTATCATGTTAAAAACAATATCAAGATCTCTGGCTCCCCTTGGCTCTCGTTAAAAGGTATAAAACTTACCTTTTTTCCATCGCCGGACTGGTCTGGTCGCAAATAAGAAGGGAGGGGGGGATTTAATGCCTGCTTAGTTTTTTTTAAATTGTTTATTTACCCCCCCCATAGTTTTTTTTTATTGTTTATTTACTCCCCCATAGTTTTTTTATTTATTTACCCCCCTTAGTTTTTTTTATTTGTATATTTAACCCCACTTAATTTTTTATTTGTTTATTTACCCCAACACACAACATTTATACACAGCACTCTCACACACAGCACTCTCACACTCAGCACTCTCACACACATCACACTCAGCACTCACACACATCACACAAAACACTCTCACACAGCACTCTCACACACATCATACACAGCACCCACACACACAGCACCCTCACACAAATCAATCACATACAGCACCCTCACACACACAGCACCCACACACACACAGCACCCTCACACACAGCACCCACACACACAGCACCCTCACACAAATCAATCACATACAGCACCCTCACACACAGCACTCACACACACAGCACCCTCACACAAATCAATCACATACAGCACCCTCACACACACAGCACCCTCACACAAATCAATCACACACAGCACCCCTCACACACACAGCACCCCTAAACACATTACATTCCAGACACACACTAGATCCTTTACCCAACTCTGTATCATCTACACACATACACACACTAGATCCCTATATACACTCTGAATCCATTATATACGCACGCTCACTAGATCTCCTATACATAGTCTGGGTCCTTCAAACACACAGAAGACTCGTATATATATTCACACACACACTCTGGATCCCCTATACGCACACTAGATTCCTTGTAAGCAAACACATACTACATTCCCTGAACACACACTCTCTACAAACACTACATCACCTATACACACACACACTATAGCCTGTATGCACACACTTGCTACATCCCCTATACACACATTCTCTACAGCCCCTAGCCACATATGCATTACATTACACCATAAACACAACATGACTAAAACCGACCTTATTACACAATACCACACCACGACCAGCTCACTCTGCACACACGCAATACCACAAGCAGGCTCCAAACACATGCACAATACTCTTTCCTGGCCCTTTTGTCTCCTGGTATCCATTTATAGAGACACCAGAGACAAGTTGCAAGGAAACACAGTGCAAGCATGTTATTAAATTTGCTTGCACTGTGCAGAACAAATACAGGGCTTTTTTTCTCATGCTAGAGTTCTTCAGCAGAGCTCTGCGCATGGTCTGCCCTGGAAGAGCACTGAACCAACATGCTCACTTTGAGAGGGGGCGTGTTTGAAATGAGTGATGACAAAACACACCCTTTCTGCCCTGCCCCCTTCTTAGTGGGCTGCTGTGATAAAAAAATGCCCGGGCTGAATTTTTTTCCCAGTCCGGCCCTGCTGATCTATGTTTACAAAATGCATAACTTAGTTGTTCAAAATGCATGACTCAGTTGTTCCCAGCCCAACCTTTTCAATTTCTGTTACTTTGGGGATAGTGACAAAACCAGGACTGTTGGTGTGCCTGGATTTGAAACCCTTGACATCTTCTTCTACAACGAGCAATGCATTCTGTAGTCTAGATTCACCTAAGCCACTGCCATATTTAACTTTGCACCTTACAAACAACGCTAGCTTAGATTTACCTAAGCCACTGCCATATTTAAGTTTGCACTTTACATACAGAAAAAAAAAAATTCTGTTGTGTCCACTTTTTGTTTTACAAATACATATATGGTGTTTCAGTCATTATTTTATTCATTAAAATCTCAATAATTGCCACCAAAGTCAAATGAATTCCTGTGTTCATTGCAATAATTTGTGAGCTCTAAATATTGGGATTTTAATACATGTTTTAACAGATTTTTGTTACCTTAGAGTGGTTACTACACGCATACAACATCACGTCTTCTGCTGCTGGTCTTTGAATACAGTCACTTATTCCAACTGAAGGGGAAAAATACATACAATCATTCTTACAGCAACTGACCACTTCTAACACAAGCAGTTATTCACAATTAACTGGTACCTTAGAAAGGAGCATACAGGGACACTAAAGTCACCCAGACTACTTCATCTCATTGAAATGTTTCCAACATTAAAGTGTCCCTCTAGCCCGCAGCCCCCCCATGGTGACTCTCACATTCCATGAAAGGGTTAAAAAAAACTTTCAGTCACTTACCTGATTCCAGTAGCAATGTCCCTCAGTGCTAGTTTGTGCTCCTCCTTTGCCATGCGGCACCGTGCAAGTGCCATGCATACATTAGGCTTTCCTCATAGGAAAGCATTGACTCAGTATGGGGAGGCAGAAGACACTGGATGCCCTAATACAAAGCGTGAGGACGTCCAGTGTCATTTCATGGAATCAAACTCTGTGAACCTGCAGGAAGTGCATCTAGTGGCTGTCTTAATTTCTCTAAAACTACAATGTTTTACATGGAACAGGAATTCAGCACCCAGACCACTTCAATGAGATGAGCTATAGGTGTCTATCGTGTTCCTTTAAAGTATAGATGTCCACTACCTGGGTGCAATGTAATTACTGAGAGGAAGGACGACACTAATCGTATGACTGGAAACCCCAAGTCTCAAAATTATAACTCTTCCATATCCCTAGTGTATCAATCCCGTGTCATCAATACCGGCCCAGAACATTTTGCAGGCATGGTCTTAAAGCAAAAGAAGCTCCTTGTGTTCCCCTTAGTGCTATTTGGTTCTCCTGTTATTGTTATACTGTGTACTGACTAGGCTTGTATTTTGACCTCCTGATTTCTGGTATCCAGGCCCGGCTATTGTTGTATCGTTCTCCCGATCAAAG